TTTTCTAAATTTGACATTCTTTTAAACACTAACATCATTAACTCTTTGTAAAACTGCGTCCAGGTGGCTGACCTGAGGCTGGCTCTGCAAAGGGCTGAGCAACAGCAGGCAAGGAAAGAAGATTATTTGAGAGAGGAGATCAGTGAGCTTCAACAGGTAACACATTATGCTTGACATAACTGATCCAACTAAGCTAGCTTTGTTTAATAAGAGGCAAAAATAGCTATAATTTTGATGGGAACAGGATTGATTTAATGCCATCATTTGTCGTCTTCCTACAGAGACTCCAGGAGGCAGAGACTAGGAACCAAGAGCTCAGCCAGAGTGTTACCTCAGCCACACGACCCTTGCTGAGACAAATTGAGAACTTGCAGGCCTCATTGGGTGGACAAACCGCATCGTGGGAAAAACTTGAGAAGAGCATTTCTGACAGGCTAGGTAAGAGGCAGGAGTTTAACCGTGTATGTGTAAAATCACCAAATCACCGTGTTGGTCAAAGTGGACACAAAGTTTGACGTCCTTTTGCTCTCCCTCTCAACAGCGGATGCCCAGGCGCAGCTGGCCGTTGCTGTGGAGAAGGAGCGATCAGCAACAGAAGAACTGTTGTCCATCAAGTCCCAGCTGGCCTCTCTGGAATCCCAGAATTCCTTGCTCCGCCAGGAAAAAGCCAGACACCTGGCACAGCTGGAGACTGAGAAAAGCAGGAGAGAGAAAGTGGAGGATGAGAGCAGCAGGTACAAATTTCAAATTTACAGCTCGACTACCATATTTTGGCTTCATCTTGTTGTGTATCTTTATACAAATGAAATGTGTATGGGGTTAATAGATGGAGATGACATGTGAGTATGAGAGTAAACACGTGTATGGTTTTTGTCTTACCTTTGTCAGAGAGGCTTTAAGTAGCACGCCACCCAGACTAGGAACCAAACTTGTCTTCGTGTGGTCACAGTTTTTCACTGATTCAAGAAATCAAAGAGTTTCCACAGCAGGATGAAATGCAGCATTTCATTTCATCTTGCTGGTCTGATGTTTCTGTCATGTGGTTGCTTGTTGTGAAGTGGCAGGAAAAAAAAACAAAAAAAAAGTTCTGTGTGAAGAGACTATATCGGCGTGAAGACCATTGCTACCAAACTGTATTGTAGTCTCCGTTAAGCTTCGGTTGGAAATTGTAATATAGTATTGTCTTGACTGGAATATGTGAAGGAAATCAATAGCATAGATTTTCTGGTAAGGATAAAACTTGCAGAATGATTCAGGAAAATGTAGTCACCACAGCTTCCTTTGTAGTGCTAATGCTTCCTGGAGTGTTTTTGTTTTACAACAAACCCATTTGCGAGTCTGAGTGTGAAGCTGAGGCCTCGGGAACCCCCCCTCCTGTGAAAGCACTCATGCGTAAGCTTGTGGCTTTTGTGCCTCGGGTTTATCTTTTGTTAGAAAGCCAGTTGCCGTTACAGGGCCAGTGGCGCAATGGATAACGCGTCTGACTACGGATCAGAAGATTCTAGGTTCGACTCCTGGCTGGCTCGATTCATTTTCATCTCATACAGATTTATCATTATATTTAGGTCTCATTTACATATAGTCATAAACAGCTTGCTAAAAACATGACTTTGTAAGCCATAAAACTCTTGGCTGCTTGAGGAACCTTGTGCAGCTTCGGGGAAACACAAAAAAAAAGAAAAAGGATTTTTTAATTTCACAGTCAGGCTTTCATTTTTAACATCTCAGTAAGATACTTCACTGATTTTTAGTTTTTAATACAGTTTTCTTTAACGACTTCCTGCTGTCATCCCAACGTAGGGAACACATCGAATTGGAAAATCTGAGAGGAGAGCACAGTCGAATGCAAGAAGAGGCAAAGAAAGAAAAGGTACCATAATATTATTTTCTACTAATGTTGTTCTCATGTTTGAAACAACGTTCTGATGTGCATCTTTTTTGCTCCTTCTATCAGCTGCTGCTGACAAATCAGCTAGAGATGGAGAAAATGAAGGTGGAGCAAGAGAAGAAGAAATGCTACTTAGCACAAGAAGCACTCAAGGAAAAGGTTTGGGAAAGTTACAGACTTTAACAACACCAAGTTTTATTGTGAGTCTGTTTCATTCAAACCAAAACCTCTCCATTTCAATTCTGACCTTTTAGGAGCGGAAGGCTATGATCCACTCTGTTGGAGAGCCGCCAGCGTCTTCCACACCCTCCCTCTCCCGCTCCAGCTCCATCAGCGGAGCAGACAATGCCGGGCTGCACACCTCCCTTCTGTCGCAGGTACACGGTGCTTTCCACATAAAGCTAGTTAAGATGTGTATCTTAGAATGGAAATATTGTTAAATCTAGAAATTGTAGATGGGATTTTTTGTGCTTGGGTAGCTCGACTGGGTTTCTACCTTGTTTGCTATTTTTCAATAGGACGACTCTTTAGACCACTCGCTGGGAACTATGACCATGTCTGTGTCAATGAGTGGGACCAACCTGTACGAGGCCGCCAGACTGTCTGGAGGCTCCAGTATTATAGAGAACCTCCAGTCTCAACTCAAACTGAGGGAAGGAGAGATTGCACAGCTGCAGGTACTGTTCAAGCTACTTAATGACAAGATTTCCGATTTTAAGGATAAGCTTGATGCTTCTGCTACATGTCAGCAGTTGTGCACCAACGTTTTTTTCATTCCGCCTTTTCAGCTTGAGATCGCCGGTTTGGAGAGAAGCCGCTCTGTGATGGCAGAGGAGCTGGTTCGACTCACAAATCAAAATGATGAGATGGAGGAGAAGGTGAAGGAGATTCCCAAGCTGAAAGTTCTACTCAAGGTACAGGGCCACACAGTATGAGGAAATTAATTGAAAAATACACGATACATCTTTAGCGTAGTCTCCGATACATAACATGAATTGTAAATATTAAGTTGTGCAAATTTCCAAAGGTTCTTTCTAATTTGCGTGGCTGTGCATTTCAGGATCTGGAGCAGAGGCACAACACCATCCTGCAGATGTACGGAGAAAAGGCTGAAGAAGCAGAGGAACTGAGACTGGACCTCGAAGATGTAAAGAATATGTATAAAACCCAGATTGACGAGTTGCTGCAGAACCAGAAATAAAGCGCTTTTACTCACTGTGTTACTTCTGGGGCACAAATCCATTGATCATCTTAGCCACAAATGCATTCACAGGAATAAATAGGGCAAAGAGTATAAGTTTAGTCACTGTGTAAGAAGGAAATTCATTCGTCTTTCTCTATTGTTTTATTTTAATTAATGATTATATACTCTTATTTAAGTGGGGGGATGATGGGAATATGCAAATTGTCCAATGCATATTACGGAATCAGTATGAAGGATAGCCACAGTTTGATTCGCTCATCTATTTGATACATTTGGAAATTTGTACAAACTTTACTTTAGACATTTGTCTTAATTGAATCTTTGACATAGTATTGTATAGACAGTTTTTTTTAACTGTATGAGATGGTAAGGGTTTTTTTTTTTGCACTATACAAATTTACCCATTATTTCCTAATGCATAATCAGACTGATTTAAGGAATATATAAAACACTGTACAGAGAAATGTATGTATTGTTCAAATCACAAAATGTGGTGTACACCCGAGAGTAGTCTGTGATTAAAAATCCTAAAGACTGGATTGTAAACTGTATACATATGTAAATGAATAAACATTTATTTGGGTGGTGGCAAAATAATTTAAACGGTGTGAAGTTACACTAGAAAAGTTTTCATTTCCGTTGCATTCACACAAAATACCACGTTTACTGAAAGCTACACGCGACTTCAAATAAATTTCATCTTGTGAACAATTTTCATACAGTTTTCAAATGTTTGGTTTTTTTTGCAAACCACACCTATAAATCTTCACTCATTCAGTTTATTCAAATTTAAAAATATATGTGAAAGATATACTACATAATCTCTTGTGTTTCCAAAATTGAGTGTAATGGGTGTTGTGATGATTCGGTGAAATTAATCACATTTTAATCATCCATTCAGTGGAAGTTTAAGGGGTGCTTGAGCCCATCCCAGTAGATGCCGGGAGAGAAGTGACACTGAACAAGTCACCAGTCCATGACAGGGACAACATAAAAAGACATGCATGCTCACAGCCAGTTTAGAGCAACCACTTAATCTACCATGCATGTCGTTGGACTGTGAGAGTCTCTGGGGGGGAGCATCAAACATGTCCTCAAATTTATTTTTCCCTCCCATAAAAGAAGGAAAAAAAACTGCTGTCACTGAAATGAGTTGAAATTGACAAAAGTAACAAAAAAATAAAAATTTTATAAAAATCATGACATTGCTTTTCAATTACAGTTCAACATAAATAAAAAAAAAACAAGCATGCTGGGACCCATAAACTAATATTTTGTTGAACAACCCTGTGAGGCAAAAACTGCAATCAAATGTTTTCCGTAACTCTCAATCAGACTTCTGCACCTGCTGACAGGTATTTTGATTTTGGCCCACTGCTCATCAGCAAAGTGCTCTAATTTGTCTGGGACAGTTTTTTTTTTTTTTTTTAATTATTCTTTTCATCTGCAATTCAAAATCAATGTCTTATTTCACTAAATTATAAATTAGCAGTCGTTTATTTACTATTTCAGTCTGTAGTTATTTGAGTGACTATTGTAAACGTGCCTTTTCTTTAATGGAAGGGTATGAATACATTTGAGGACGACTGTAATTGAGCAGCTCCTGAAGAAGTTTCCGGACAAGATTAGGCTGGGATCGAACCCGCGACCTCCCACTTGTCGGACAACCTTCTCTCTCACCTGAATCACAGCCAGCACACATTCTGGATAATAAAATCCCATAAAAACAATAAACAAAGGCTGCTAAAACTTCTCGAAAGTGTTTTTTTTCAGACTATGAACCCAGACTCTAATATAATTACTGGATATGTCATGTAAAATGACCCGTAAACGAAAGCGGAGGAACACAAAGTGTGGTGCACAGCGCCACGTTGTGGCGGAAGGTCCGTACTACACACTGGTGTAAGGTTTCCGGTGTTATGGCGACCACCGGCAACATCTTCTCCTCAGTCTGGGAAAAGCAGCCTGTGCATTCAGGTAAACTACCTCTCACTCAAACTCGAGCCAGACTTATTTAGAGCACAATTAACGCGAGTTTCTCTGTCTGTTGGTAGTTTTTGTACCGTGGACACACCGGCATGTTTCCCCCCCTGTCCAGTTCTGGTGCTGCCACACCGACACAGCTTGAATTAAGGATCCCCCGGCTTTGTCAAACGTTAGCTACCGCAGAATACATGTCAGACACGAGTTAGCCTTTAATAAAGTGTTTTTCGCTTGTTAGCCCCTGACGAAGAAAGGTGTTAGTAATACGTTATTATCTCCGCATCTCCCCAATGTGAAGGTTTATCTTTCATGCCAGTTAAATCACCGGGTGTTCACGGCGGGTTCCAAAGTTATCGTAAAGTTAAGTTAAAAAAAAATTAGCTAAAAGACGCGCAGCTAGCTTAAAGTTTGATCCAACATGTCAGTTGATTATCAGTGTAAATGTAAGTTTTCCTGTGAGCAACAATAAGTCAAGGATGTGGCGTTGAGGGACAAATCTTACGACGGCTGGTGAAAAAAAACAGCATCCCCGTCTACTGTCAGAAGTTACAGTAAAAGTAACGATAATTAGCTGTAGCTAATTTTCTTAGCTTAAAACATTGTTAAGCTTGCTAGCAGTGTGTGTTTACATGTAGCTTCCCTCCAAAAGTAATTCATTAAATTTCCGATCTGAAGCCTTTGTTTTAATCTAACAGTGATTTATTGCACGCCTTTTTCCCCTTAGCAAATGGTGTTAACATTACAATTTCTTAACTCCAATAAAGTTAGCACTGCAGAGTTATGCAATATATGACTCGTGATGCTTTATCCTCACCGCCTATTGTGAACAAACCTGCAGAATAGACAGTTTTTCTTCAGGAGATGTGAGCCATTGTTATTCTTCAATGTGGCTACTGTGTTATCAAAGGTCACACTGTAATGTTCAATCATCACTCACTGATATTAGGAGAGAAAAATGTCATTGGCTGTAGGCTGTGTAAGCACATGCATGCCTGAGACTTTTAACAAAACAGCTTGAATCATGGAAATATGGCTGTTGTGTAAATACTGATACCGCCCTGGCCACCTGCATAGGTCACATTATTACCAGCCAGCAGTTCTCATTTGCCCCTCCAGTCTCAAGTTATGATTGCCCAGACAACAGTCGGAAAAAGGTCAGAAGAATTTCCTGCAACGGGGCTTTTCCTTATGTGGAGCTCAGGATCCGCCTGGAGTTACGTTCCCACACACTTGCTTGCGCCCACATGCTTGTGTACTGTGGTGTTAGGCTTTCAACCAAGATTACAGGGTGCAAGTCTGAGTCTGTGTCTGTGTCTCTCCCCTTCTCGCAGAGTGCTGTGAAGAGAGGCGACTGTTTCACATCTCTGTGTAATTCTGACTATGCTGCTCTTGGTAGCACTTGGCATAGTTTTCTCCCCTTTTGTGGTCACCATTGAGAAGCCTGAGAACACCAACCACAAACCACCACCAGCACCGCTGCTCAACTACAGCAGGATCTCCCTGCCGCCAGAACACGTACCCTGCTTCCTCTCCAACAACAAGAGGGTCGCCAAGCAATGCCGTCTGGACCCACTCTGCCCTTTTAAAGTAAGATATGGACTTTCAGTGTAATTATCAGTGTGCAAATATTATCACTATGTACAGTGGTAGCATGTAGGGTAGTTTAAATTTTGCTGACCTTTGTAAGGAAAAACAAGTTGTTAATTGACTGTCCAGTACCTTAAACTTCAGCTTATGACTAAAAAAATCAAAAACTTGCTGTTGAATTGTATTACCTATTAGCATTAGCCTTGTCAGTGCAGGGAGCACGTTCACTGGAACAGGAGATTTCACTCAGTAGCCGTAACAGCTAACTTCTGTACACTGATGTTCTTGTTAATGGACACTGCCCTCCTTTAGCCAGGAAGAAAGCACAAAACATTTTAATTTTCACTTGTGTGCTTTGAGTGTTTTGTAAAGTTTAGAATGAGCATTTCCCACAAAGAGATGTTTTTTAAACAGCAGTATTTTTGCTCTTTTGGTCCTTGCTTAAACAAAATGATGTCATTAATTACCCCAGCAATGGATGCAGGAAGTACAGTCAGGAGATAAGAAAAGAAGGCTTTAGATTCTGACTGTAGAGTTTAAATAGTTAGTTTTATGCTATGAAATAACCCCATCAGCTTGGTTAATTCATTTAATATACTGGTGAATGATCCATCCCCATTGTTGTACCTCCCACATTTTTCTCCTTAGTTTTTAAATTATTTTTCTAAAAGATAAAACTTAATTGTAAACAACATTGTCTCTTTGTCTTATGGAAGCACAAGCATACACACTTATATCTTAACACTTGTTTTTTTTTTTTTACAACAGGATGCTCTGCAGGATCTGTCCGTCTGTTGGGGTTATGAGAAGAACTGTGATCCAAGGAAACGCTTTAGCTACCCTGTCTGTACCAAAGCTGACTCGGGATGGTACTTTTCCTCACATCACATTCATTTACAACACTTAAAACAGTTTATGCAATGTGCTTTTCCCATTTTGCTATCAGGCCCCTCCAGAATGTGCCAGATGCTCACTAGTCCTAATAGTAATAGAATTCTTTTATTTATAGATACTGGATTTACTGAACCACAGTCTCCGTTATTATTGCCAAAGTACCTGTGTGCTCATGCATAGTGTGCATGATTGATGAGCCATTATGGTTGTAGATTTGCTGATCCGTCTAAATCTCTGATCTGTCAGGGCTCGTTCACTGGATGCAGCCCAGGAGCTTTTCTGGAAGCAGGCTGATTTTGGCTATGTCAAAGAGCGACTCTCTGAGCTCAAAACACTCTGCAAGGCCAGCAAGCCGGTAAGTCTGCTCATTTCCTTAGTTCCCACGGGCCCATTGAGCCAACAGGAAGAAACAACAGGTAGAAATAGACACAGTGTTCAGACAATGGGCCCTGAATAATTTGCGGTTTAAAAGCAGTGGTAGTAAGAATATAATACAGAGAGCCTCCCAAGGTCCAGAGTTTATTATTATTATTACTTAAATGCTACGTTTTTCTAATAATACTCTTTTCCAGGGAGATTCAACATTAAGGTGCAGTAGTCACACTAGATTTTGTAAAGCAACAAATCTTTACCTGGACTTGCGGAAACCACGCAGAAGTCACGAGAGGTAAGTGCAATTGAAAGTTCCATTTTAAAAGCGTCATTATGCTGATGGAAGTGACTTGAAATTCAGCCATCTTTATGCTTCAGGTACAAAGAGGACTTCATTCAGGAGGGTGAGATTGGAGGACATTGTCGACTGAACAAGCGAGCACTTGCTGCTGAGGGAGAACACAAGAGCCCATTGCAGTCTTGGTGAGACAGGACACATGCATTCATGAACACGGGCTTATGGTTATTTAATCATAATTAAAGGTATTTTCCCTGACCGGGAATCGAACCCGGGCCGCGGCGGTGAGAGCGCCGAATCCTAGCCACTAGACCACCAGGGAGCTGGTGATGTTATTTTCAGCACAGATTTTGTGACGTATGGCATGCAGCCATAGGGCTAATATTTGTTCTTCATGCATTCTAATGATTTATAAACTGAATGTTAATGATGTCATGTGGCAGCACTGCTGATCTGCACCTTTACCCCTCTGTGTTCCTTTATTTGTGAATACGAGTTAGAATGGCAAGAGTTGCATAGCTTTGGTACTTTCTGATATTATCTTGGTTAAAACCCAAAGTTAAATGTTCCCTGACCGGGAATCGAACCCGGGCCGCGGCGGTGAGAGCGCCGAATCCTAGCCACTAGACCACCAGGGAGCTGGCAAATGGAGTTTAAGGCAGTGAAATGACATCAAGAGGCATTCTTGTTAGGTGTGTTGAAAACAGCACATACTTAGACATGCTTCCAGATAAAAAAAATCAACAGATTTTGTGACATTGCAGGTCTTTGTGTACTTTTACAGTAGTTTTTATTTCATTCCCGGAATCAAACACGTGCTGTGGAAAGTGTTCCAACTATTTGGAGATGTTATTTAGGGCTTTTATGGCATGTCTGACATATGGCCAGATCTGACTTTTGCATGTACTAACACAGACTGTCACTAGTCTGTGTTTTTCTTCCACACTTCACTGTGCACTGCATTGCCAGATTTTAGTTGCATCTGCAGGTAATAATGTCTTGTATGACTCAGTGGCTTCCTTCCTGCTTGGTCTATTAGTAATTACAGGATGGGTGCTGTTTACTTTTTAGTCAGACCAGCTACAGTTAGGCCAGGCCAATACTGAAAGATGCAAACCTCTGCACATCACTGCTTAAGGCACAAAGTCATGTGGAATGATCCATAAGAAAAAAGAGGCTGCCAACTCGGGTAGCTCTCCCTCACCTTCTAACAAAGTCTTGTTGACTTCGTTAATTAAAGAAATCACTACTCTGTATCATTTTCAAAGACCAGTCAGACCGCTCGAGCAGTGACCTTGCTTTGAAACGTTTAGGGAATTAACAGAGCCATTCCTCACCTTGCTGTTAAAAGCATTAATAAAATGTGAGTCATAGACCATCATATGCATTTGATGTCCTTCGGTTACTGAGAGGAAGAGGCTTTACTTGCTGCTGTTGCATCTCAAGCCTGTTTAACTTCTGAAAGCAGTGAAAACCACATAGCTCCTTCTGAAAGCAGCAGAAGCCAAACTTGTTAGGAATGCGGGGGTGGGGTTTGCCGGCCATGCTCGTGTTCCGTTAGAGGAATGCAGCACTCTACAGGGCCAGTGGCGCAATGGATAACGCGTCTGACTACGGATCAGAAGATTCTAGGTTCGACTCCTGGCTGGCTCGTTCCTTTTTATTTTTAACTCTTTCTGTGGACAGAGAGATGCTGCTGTGACTCGTACAGAGTGATCTTGCTCATAATATGCAGCTGGTGTAGCATTTTATCATGCCACTAATCGTCAGCAGTTCAAAAAATGATCTCAGATGAATGTTGAGCTTTTTGACAGCAAAGCGTGCCAGGTTTATGTAATTTGAAATGAAGGCTCTTGTATTGTTTAGCCAGTGATGTTTCTCTATCGTGCATGTTGTCCTTGTGAAGACAGTTTTAATTAATTTTTGGTTGGAGGAATTTAATCACATTTCTCACACCTTTAACTTTATTGAAAGGCACGTTGGAATTCAGTGTTAGCATATTCAGAATTTTTTTAAAAACATTTTTTAACCAACCTCTATTTGAAATGATCTCAGTAAAGCACATACCTGGGTGTGGGCCAGTGGCTCAGTGGAAAACATGTCTGACTACAGATCAGAAGATTCTGTCTGTGTCCTCCTGCTGGCTCTGTCACATTTGTCTCATTTGTGGAGAAAGAGAGATGCTGCAGTGACTACAACAGACTAGAACAATCAAAGAGTCCTCTGAATTAGACCTGTCTCCAGCACTGAAATGGGATAGCCTGCACTCACTATTTCAATATAAGAGGTTGTGTTTCGTTTGTAGTGCCTCCTGTTCATATGATGTCCCATTTCTTCCACATATATGTCATTTTTAATTTACAGTATTGCAATGATGTTGTTGTAGGTATGCTGAGCTACAGACATACAAGGAGCTGGACTTCGATCCTATAGAAGATGGACACTGTGATATCGTAATTGAAAAACCCACTGTTTTCATGAAACTAGATGCTGGTAAGTAAGAAAGATTTGCTTGACTTAATTTAAAGCAATTCAGTCAAAACTCCTTCCTCTTATTACACCTTAAGGAGAAACTGCTCTTTCTTGTGTCTGTGCAGTTTGTTTGAGGTTAGACACTGCATGAAGACAATGTTCCCAGTTCATGTTCTCAGATTGTAACAACAATGACTTCCCTATAACCGACATGTTTTTAATGACCTGATGGAATATTGCTCTAAGAGACTGAGAGTTCAGAGTCGTTTTCTTCTTTTTGTTATCATGTCTAAAACAAACAAATGTTCACAAGTCTCCTCTTGTTCAGTTTCTGTCATATTGGCAAAAATAATCGTGTTTTTTTTTTTTTTTTTTTTTTTTAAATAGGGGTGAACATGTACCACCATTTCTGTGACTTTGTCAACCTCTATATCTCCCAGCACATAAACAACTCCTTCAGTTCTGATATAAACATCATCATGTGGGACACGGTGGGTACTTCATACATCTCACTGCCTTTTCAGTGCAGCAGAGGGTGTAATCTATATAGGGATTTTATAATTCATTCTGTTTAAGGTTAACAAGTACATACGGTGCAGCTAGTGAAACATAGATGCTCAAATTGTGCTGAACATGTCCACGATCACCACTGATGGCAACAATTTTTAAGCAATTCTTACTAACTGAGGCAACATAAAATAAACATTTTACATTCTCATGTCATACTTTTATTTATCTGAAATAAGGCATGCTTTTCCAAGTGTATTTTTCCAGTGACTTTGTAAGTGCCTCTTCTAGAGATAGATAAACTGACAGGGAGAAGGAAAGCGGTGACCTTTCATCACAAATCATGGTGCTTCAGGCTGTCAGATAATGTTGTGATAATGGATTTTGTATAAAGCCAAAACTTCAGAAAAATACAACCAACTAAGGTTGAAAACAGGTGACTGACTCTGGCTGCGCTAAAGGCGTAATGTAGTTAGTTTTAATTTTATGGCTTTGTTTTTCATTTCTGTTGTGACGTTAATTGAATCAACATTTGTTCCCTCTTTTGGATGTCTTCTCCCAGAGTTTTTATGGTTATGGAGATCTGTTCAGTGAAACATGGAGGGCCTTCTCAGAGCATGACATCATCCATCTGAAGACATATGACTCGAAAAGAGTAGGTGTAATGTCACCTCTAAGTGCTTGTTATGTGCTCCTTTAATGTACGGGTGTTGACCTTATCACTTATTCGGTGGTGATCTACAAAGGTTCATTAGAGTGTTATTACAGAGCATCCATTATTAGGTCAGGTTCCTCTGGCACACAGGAAATATTGTTTGGCTCATCCACAAATGTCAACATTAGCTTTGATGTACTGCGTGGTACGTAAGAAAGTAAATTAATCCAAACATGATTAAACAGATAAGAAATAACCTTTTCTAGCACTTGAGTGATCTCTGACACTAACACCACAGCAATGAGTAAGTTTTATATTAATATTTTATGTTGATCCTGTACACCAAAACCATCATTTCATTATTTTTGAAGGTACTCAAAGATTACGAATAAGTATGTATGTGTGTAGTACATCATAACCTATGCTCTGATTCCTTATACACTTCCTTATCCACTTATCCATAGGTGTGTTTCAAAGATGCCTTCTTCTCCCTTCTCCCAAGAATGAGATATGGCCTTTTTTACAACACACCTCTTGTAAGTTACACCTTCTGTATGTGTGTCTGTACTGCTTTGTTTGTGTCTTGATTTATACACTGATCAGCCATAACGTTAAGGTCATTTTTTTGTATTAATGAAATTGGACAGCAGACACGCACGCAGTTCTATTCATTGCACAACAGACGGCTGCATTGGCACTTATACTGGACACAGAAAAACTCGCAGGGCTCCAGTCAAGATTTCTGAATGGCTGGCTGTATTGAGCACAGTGGACGGATTTCTTGAGAATTTAGGACTGCCTAGTGTGTTTGGGCACTTTCGATGTAAAGCATGTACAAACCAGAACACCTCCAAAGTACAGCAGCAGCTTCTTCAATTACAACTTTAGTAATAGTGAATTATAAAGGTGTGGATATCCATGAACGTGACAATGTGTAGGTGGGTCATATGTGTCAATATAACATCCACATGAATGCCAGGACCAAAGATTCCCAGCAAAACATTGCACTGTTATGAGCTGACCGATGCCATTAATGCCACCTGTCAGCAGTTTTAATGTTGTGGCTGTTCAGTGCATGTTTTTAATATCACATTCTGTGGTAGAATTCTTTTGTCATTCATTGGTCTTTTCTCGCCACAACCACAACGATATTCAGTGCAGTCGTAAACATGCGGTTTAGGTCAAATATTTATGTGATGTATTCAAAGCTCAGCAAGTGCTTATGTTATTTAAATGATAATTCCAAGGAGATTACAATAAAATGATACCATGTAAATATGTGTTCTCCTGTGGTTCCAGCCTTGAGGTGTGAAATATTGATAGGTCAGGTTCAAGCTGATGCTTTTGATTGCCCCTGCAGCACATGTCATGTTTATATTCATGTGCATTCATTTACAGCTGCAGTGCAGGAGTGTGTATGTGAATTTCTCTGACTTGATAAATGCATAGGCTCATATGATATTCGCCCTGTGAGATTAGGAAATATGTTTACAATTGTCAGATTCCCAGTGTGTACCATATCTTTCATCACAGTCCAATGCAACAGTGTGCTGGTGTAGCGAGATTCAATTAGCCTCCGATTTATTTAAAATTAGAGAGTAGAAAAGTGTCTTCTTGCTTGACTCTACACAAATTTTGACAATAATTACAATATTTTGTATTTAATGAAGGAAAAATATTTTGCAATTCTGAGTGTAATGAACTCTTTTTATGGTGTGTTGATGGCAGATCTCTGATTGCTACAGTGAAGGTATGTTTAGGGCGTTCTCCCAGCATGTCCTCCATCGGCTGAACATCCTACAAGATGGGCCAAAGGTAGGAGCAACATCTTATAGGAAACATATTAGTTACATTCATATTTTAATCACGCTTATATTGTAAAGACACAGAGTGTCAAAAGACTCTAAAATCCAATACAGTTAAATAGAGCAGCAACGGCAGTAACAAAATACGTCTTTAGAAGCTTGCATTATAGGGGATGATTCATCACAGTGGAGATGCATTTTCTGTTGTTGACATCAAGACATTCCTGACATTTACTGAACAAACAGTGTTACCATTGTTAGTGCAGTAACTGCTCAAAAGCAATGCAGACATGGAATAAAATGAGCCCAAGAAATTTCTTGTACGCTGATCATACTGGTACTGAAACCAGCCAGACATACTTTCTTCTGCCAGCTAGCAGCTTGTATGCACTCACTTTTGTAAAGTCACTGTTTTCCTCAAGAATAAAGTCTCCTGTACAGGAGTGTATGTTTGATTGACTGGAATAATTGGCCTGTATCTGTTCAATAGAAGCCACAGGAAGAATAGTTGGCACATAAGCATGTATCTACCCTAATCTTCAACATTTAATTTGGCCAGTCTATTCACTCTGTATCAGTTAAGAAAAATCATCTCAGCAATACTAACCAAACACATGAGTGTTGAGGAGAGCAGTGCAAGAGAGAGAAAAGAAGTGAGAAAACAAGAAGACAATGTGTCAAAACTCACTAGTGTGCACAAAAGGCAGACACAGCCTCTATGTGGAGCTTACCTTCTAGTCAGCTTCCTAACCAAAACTATCTGCAGAACTCAACCACAGTCTTTGTGAGCCGCAGAAGGTCTCGTTATCCAATGAAACCTGGAGCCAGAGAAAGGTCAAGTTCTGGGAATATACTGGCAACCACCCGAAACCATGACAGTGCTCTCGAGCAGTAGTAAAAAGAGGGGAAAGGGACGCTCTAACCATTGCACTCCAACACCACAACCATGCCAGACGATTACCGAACGGAGAGACACAACCTGTCAGGGGAGCCAGTCCTCTAAGCATAGGTGAACCAACACTCACCTCTCATGTCTCTGCTGTAATTTACCTTGAAAAAAAATTCAGCTGCAGAGCTAACCTAGCCTCCTGTAAGAATGCCAAAACAATGTGTTTACAATGCTAAACTGGCCAAACTCCAGTGCTCCCCCAAGAGATCACCTTATCATTTAAGGTTCACTACATAATGAGAGGGAATCCCTCACAAGACAAATTCATCAGCTCATCAATAATGCACGTAAAACCACGGTTCCTATCAAAGGCCTTTTCCAACGCTGTCAGTTAAACTGGAAAGACACATTTTCTTTTGCAACCCAAAAACGCCCAAGCACAACAAAATCAAACACAATGCTTAATCCAAACGTACCAAATCAAGCTGTGCTAAATCAAAGGAAGAAACAAATAAATAATTGAAAAAATAATTCAGCATGAAATGTAGAGATCAGTGCTAGCAGTGTCAAAATGTATGGACATGTTGGCGCAATAAGACGTGTGTTGTAAGTACAAAACAAAACCAAAGGATAACACAAACAAAAGAATGATGCTGGGCTCATGGCATCGAGACAGGCACAGAGACACCGGGCTGTGGGCAGGCGGAGCTGAAACAACCTTGTGGGATTCCGTCCAGGCGTTTTGGATGACGGCCAGTCCCACTCAGAGCCAATCAGTGGAAACCCTGCAACACAAACCACACACACAGCACTAAAGCAGAGTGGGCCTGGGGCGCCACAATATGTTGAAACTGACTACAATAGATTAGCAATCTTGCCAAGGTGTTTCCCTGCCTTCTGCCCAGTGCATGGAAGAATAAGCCCTTCTACTCTGAGGGGACCAGTGATCGGGGTATGAATTAATTAATTAGTTTCACAAAATGATTGAATTCTGCTAATTGCCATACAATCAGCAGGGGCTGATATTTTTTAACAGAAACATTTTAAATATACTTCAAAGTTTAGGCCCTGCTGGCAGCATAGGACATATGGAAGACACGGTGCTGTGAGATTTGGTGTAGTTATTTGGATGTATTTGTCAGAACATAAATGATGTTGTCTTGTCTGACATGCTGACCTTTTATTCCTGTGCCACTTTAAGATTACGTTTTCCCCTTGTGTTGTGAGAATCCATGCATACAACCACAAGTTTTTAATTAAGAGGTAGTAATAAGTGTTATTGCAGAGGAGAAAATACATAGCTTTTTTAGTTCCTCTCTGAGCAAACAGTGGGAATAAGTATTATTAAGTATTGTGTAGAGAAACTTTCATTCCAAACTTTGTAAGGATTGGGAAGAGATACCACCCACCTAACACTCCCATCAGCAATGTAGTCATTTTAAATAGTATTAATAGTTAAAAATAATATTTACCTCTGTTTAATTAATTCACTTTTTTACTTTTCTGTGCTAACAGTACGGCTGCAAGGTGGCGCAGTTGGTTAGCACTGCTGCCTCACAGCTAGAAGGTTACCGGTTCGTGTCCCGGTGAGGGCACTGGAATCTTTTCGCATGGAGTTTGCAAGTTTTCCCCGTGCAGCGTGGGTTCTCTCTGGGTTCTCCGGCTTCCTCCCACACAGTCCAAAACATGTTGAGGTTAATTGGTGATTCTAAATTGTCCGTAGGTGTGAATGTGAGTGTGCTTGGTTGTCTCTCTCTAAGTGTAGCCCTGCAATAGACTGGTGACCTGTCCAGGGTGTCCCCTGCCTTCACCCTAAGTCAGCTGGGATAGACTCCAGCCCCCCTGCGACCTTAGTGAGCGGTGTATAGATAATGGATAGATGGATGGATGTGCTAACAGTAACCTACTTGTCAAAGCACCCCAGTGGTTCTTTGATTTTAGAATGTTCACTGCATGTATGCTGTTAGACAGACAGGTAGTCTTTATGAGGCTTTGAGCTATGCACACAGCATGACGTCTTCTCCGATGGAGATTCAAACCCAGGCCACAGTCAAGTACAGAATGCTAAGCAACAACTTAGCACAAACTGTGCGTACATTTGTTGATTTAGTGTCCTCTAAAGCGTGTACCCAAATAGCACAGGTGAAAGGAGCAACTGGCACAGAGTGATAACAGGACTTGGACAAACAAATCAAGGCTGTGAGTTGTTCACTGTGAGAGATAACATATCTCAGGATTCAAGTGTCTGCAAGTTGAATGTCATAGTGCTGTTATGAATGGAAACACTGACTGCCAGGAAGGGAAGACACACGGGACTGGAAAGTGTTCTGCAGTAAAGGCTCTGTTTTAAACGTGTAAAACCACTGATATGGCCCCTCATATATGTTCATCAATGAATGGCTATATATTCTATTTTACTTCAGAAAGAGGGTGATATTAGTGCTGTCGTGCCTTTCTAGTGGTCTTGTTGCTAAGATTTGTCACTCTCAGTTCTGTCAGTTGGTCAAAGAAAACCGTACATTCAGTACCAGTCAAAGGTTTGAACACAACTATTCATTCAAGGATTTTAATTTGTTATATTTACGATTCCCTTTAGAAGTAGTCACGCTGTGCAGCAGTACATCATTCCTCGGCTCCTGCCATGCTTGGGATGTAGCCCTGGAGGTACTGCTCTCTAAGCTCATCAAGCACCATCTGTAATGTGTGCTGGATTTCCTCTACTTTTTCAATACGCCTGATGCACCAGTTATTGTCAGCCAGACTGTGTCCTCTTTCAATGTGAAGACTGCTGTTTGTTCATAGCTGTAGACCCACCGCCTCTCGTCTCCAGTGGTCATAATTGACATGAAGCTTGGGTCAACTCGAGCCAGAGATCCCCACAGACTTTGACACATGCGGCTTCTGCAGGTTGGTGGTGAAATGGCAAATGTGCACCTGCAAGTGGTCACAAAAACTTGTGTAGATCAGGTCCCAATGTTGATCGCACGACTCAGTCCTGACTCACAAGAGTTACAGCTCGCACCTGCTGCATGTACATGATTGTGCTGCACATCGTTCATTTGCAACAAGAACAGAATTAGAACTTTTTGATCACACCTCTTGTCTTAACCAGCTTCACGACGTAGTAACCTGGAGTAGTATTCATTTAACAAGTTGTGGGTATGTGTTTGAGACCCTCAGCTGTGTTGAACTGGGGTAGTTTTAGCATACAGCACATAGCCCTGTTGTACACTTGTAGGAATGCTTATTAAGGCCAGAACGACGAAACTTATTAAAGAGAAATTCATCAGTGGATACTGCTATTAAAGCTGAAGGTGTTGACTATACTTAACTGTCTTACTTCTCTTTCCTGTCTTTACATGATTTGTCTTTATGTCTTTTGTCTTGCCTGTCATTGTCTAACATTGTGTGTTACAAGCGCAGTTTCTAATGGAGAGAAGACACAGTGTTTTCTACCACAGATTCATAAGCAGACCTCAACGAATAGAAAGGCCAAAAATTAATGGATAAAATAACAAACGTGTCTCTGTTTAGATTGTATGTCCCTCTGTACGGATGATAGATTTTACCAACAGACGTCTTGCTTATCCTCACATTCTCCACCTGTATTACTGAATACCAAGAATTGTTTTTTATGTCATGTGAAAGCACCAAAATCTAAGCACAAGACCAGCAGACACAGCGTACAAGTTTCCTGGTTTGGTGTCCTTTACTGCACGTACCAAAATAACATGAGTGAAAGGAGCAACTGGCAGAGAGAACAGAGCAGTGCCACTCTTTCCCGACACAGCAGTGTGTCTTTGAATGCCTCACACAGCTCCCTGGTGGTCTAGTGGTTAGGATTCGGCGCTCTCACCGCCGCGGCCCGGGTTCGATTCCCGGTCAGGGAACATCAACTTTTTCACATTCTTGTCTGTGTGGTTGTTTCACATCTACTGATGCAGCCAATTTGTGAGGTTGGTTTAGAGTGTATTGTGTAAATTCAAATACTTCCTTTAACTTATACTTATTGATTCCCCTTAGTGAATGTATGATGGAGCAGACTTTGTCCACTCTTTTCCTTTTATATTTTGTTTGGCTTCTGTTTTCTAACCTTTGTGCTTTAATCAGGGAAATGGTAGAAAAGAATATGCAGAACTATCCAGACACTATTACACGTTTCATGATCAGTGTCTTAAGCCCTAGGCCTGTGTACACCCAGATTTGTAGGGCTTGACGCCATAGTAACAATGTCAGTGCCTTTTCCTCAGATATTTCACACTGTTACAGTTAAGCCAAATGATGCTGTTGTTTTCTGACAGGGCAGTGCCCAGCCAATCATTATGATTCTTGTTTATTACAAATTGATGTATTTAACTTTTCAAAGTTACTATGTAAGTTCCCAAGTATCCAATTCTGCCAGTTATATAGCCACTAAATTCATGCATATATTTCTGTTGTGTGAGTGAAAACAAGCGAAGGACATGATGTTTCTTGTGAAACTGAGTTAAATATGTGCATCTGTGTGGTACCCTACTGGCATATGTTTGGTGTCATGTTGCTCTATGTTTCTGTCCTGCACCTCTGAATTTCACATTTATGATGAATGCCAGCTATATATTTTTTCCCCTCCTGTGAACCTCAAATCCAACTACACTTAAAGGTGTTTGCTTTCTGTCCTGCAGTGTGAGAAACCAAGGGATGCCTCAGTTGCTTACCATATACTGCAAATCTGACAGATAACCTGGGCAGTGACTTACATACTTGTACAGTTGGTTGTTGGACATAGACAGCACAAATGATAAAGTCACTCGTATTGAGCATATGTAAATATGTACATTTTCTGGGTTTTGGCATGGATCAATAGACAGATTGTTCTGGCTCAAAACTGCAAGACTACCTGGATGCTATACTGCTATGGATCAGTGATGCATTTCACAGCAGGAATGTGTCTACCTGGGAGTATAGTATATTTCAATAGCTTTTCTGTGCCAAACATTTAGGGACTGATTTCATAAGGGTTGCAGATGAAAAAAAAGAAAGCCAGAATTAACGTTTTCTTAGGCTGGAGCTTGTGTCTTACTGATTAGGCTTTTTTTTTTTTTTTTTAAAGGAAAGCTCATGTTGTTACAATAATCCATAAGCATGTACTGTGTGTGAAAAATAGCAGCAACCAAATGCAATGGAGAGCTATGACTCACTACTTTCAGGCTTCTCTGTAGGTGATCTCATTACCATGATGAAAGATCCCCCCACTGATATACTAGCGTCTGAAAGACTACATGCATAAGTACTGTGTGTGCATGTACTCTTACACCGTCACGGCCATGCACTCATCTCCTTATTCATCTCCTTCATCTATAACTCTCCAGAACTCCTCACAGGTGCTTTATGGTGCCAGGTTTAGTGATTGACTGTATCTTTATGACCAGTAAAGCCAGATAACTTCTTCCTTCCTGTGGAGCAGCTCATTGGGTATTCATATCCTTCACTTGAAATATGCTAAGAGGCTTTTCAGCAAGACATGGGGCTGTTGGCGATAGTAGACCAGCGACTGAAAGAGAGGCCTTCTCGGCCCTGACCCTCTCCCCAGCTTTTCCTTTCATCCCTAGATTAATGGCATCAGCCAGAAACTCACGCTGCTGCTCTCCTCTATTGTGTCTTATTCATTCGTCTCTACTAGCCCTCTCCTCCTATCGCCCCTCATCATAATTTGCTGTAGTCTGGTTTTGCTCAGAATGGCATCTTTTTCTGTCGTTTTTTTTTCAAATAATTTTTAAGTAGAAAGTGAAGAAATTAGGTCTGTACTGAATGCTTATATACCCACTGCTTCTACTAGTGTTGTAGTTAGGTTTATTGACACAGGTTGAAAGTTATTGCAATTATTTTGATTCAACAATAATGATGGTCTTTATTCTTTAATTCTATATGCTACATATTCCATGCCTGAAAAAAAGTACAAATACTCTTTCTAAACACAGGGTGGCAGTAGAAGACTATGGGAAATAAAAGTGCCTCTGTACTGACTGTATAAACCAATAAAAGTACATTAGAAGAAACTTTTAACGTGATTTCAGACAATCTATCCTGCCCTCTGTGCCGTATATAGGAGACGTTTGACGTAGAATGCTTTAAGTTACTTTGAATGAGCACCATGTTTTCCCAGCCGCCTATCTTTTCTGTCCTTGGCTGATTGATTATTGGGTGCATTGCTGTTTTCAGGAGGGGCGTGTTCGTGTCACCCTGCTGGCACGCAGCACAGAATACAGAAGGATACTAAACCAAGTGGAGGTAAGTTTCCACACGACCATCTCTCTCTACTTCTGCCTCTTTTTCCTCCTTTCTCTACACTTCTTCTCTCTCCGTACTGTTCTCTGCCACATGTCCTCCTTTCCCTTTGTTATCTGTCTTTTCCTGTTTTTATTTCTTTTTTTTTTTTACTTTATACAACTCTCCTGCTCCCTCAGCCCCTCCTCCTCCTTCCACCATTGATTTACTGCCCACCTCTGTTAACTGGCTATTTAAAATCTTATTTGCTATAAACAGTACGAGTTTTAAAAAAAAGGCTTGTGATTTATATTGTCACAGCCCATATTTGTTTGCCCTCTCATTGATCACAGAACATGTCCCCATGTTGTTGTTACAGCTGGTGAATGCCCTCAAGACTGTGTCTTTACTGGAGGTCAGTCTGGTGGACTACAAATACAAGTGAGTTATAGAGTGCTCGCCACATAACTGCTGGAGCTATTCAGAGCTGCTTAGTACTGGTTGGGGCTGCATAGCAATAAAAGAATGTGTTTATCTTTTTTACATTGTCTAATAGTGACAGTGTCTACACAGTGAAGATGACTGATGTGTAACTCCCTGTGTGTCTTTCAGGGATGTTCCCTTCCTGGAGCAGCTAAAGATCACCCACAACTCTGACATATTTATAGGGATGCACGGGGCTGGTCTCACACACCTCCTCTTTCTCCCCGACTGGGCTGTCATATTTGAGCTGTGAGTGACGCTTTTTTTTGTCCGAGTACGTTCATGAAAGTGGAAGTCAAGAGGAGCAGGGATGCGATTGGCAGCGTGCTCTGTCCAAAGTACCCCTCATCCACTCAGTGTATAACTGTCAAATGCTGCTTAATTAACGAGGAGTTCATTATACCTGGTAATCCCGGGCTAGACAACTGATTTCAAATGCCTGTGTGTTCGAGTGTGTCTAGGAGCTTGTGTGGGAGAGTTTTGTCGGATTTTGGTGAGTGACACAGAGGGAGAACCATACAGTGAGAGAGAGAGAGGGGAAAAAAATGGGGCAAGAATGAGGGAAAGAGAGGCAGACTGAGAAGAGCAAGAGATAAAGTGTCTGCATCTGTCCCTCCCAGATATAACTGTCAGGATGAGAGCTGCTATCGAGATTTGGCTCGGCTGCGGGGCATTCGATACGTGACTTGGCAGAAAATGGACAAAGTGCTCCCACAGGACAAGGTAGGGGGAAACTCCCGTACAAGCCATTAGCTCCCCAGTATCTCGGTGGGAGCTTTCTCAGTTCATCTCACCTATCACCCATATACAGTATACAACCAAAGTGACTACACAACATCACTTTAATGTGAAATGATTTAAAACTGTATCACCTTACTGTAACTGCATTATTCCCAAGTTGAACGGTAGTGTATTTTCTTTTAAAGTTAAAAACCAACATTTGGATTTAATATATTGAAAATACAGGCCCCACAGTAGGAACTTAATATAATAAAAGTGAATACACCTTTCATTGCTGACATTCAAATCTTTCATTTTTTCAATTCTTATTTCTTGAAAGATGTTCTGCCATTCTTAAGAGATTTTATTTCAGTTGCTCTTTGGCGTGCTGATCTACCTGTATCTTTAAAATGTTCTGTTGGATTTATATCAGGGGACAGACTTGGCCAGGTCAGAGTGTTTTTCTTGTTTGGAAGCTCTTGTGAGATACAGGCAGTGTGTTTGGGATCGTTATCATGCTTGAATATTGACAAGCTTCTGCAGATTGGTAGTCATCTTGTCAGCCAGTATTTTGGCATATCCACAGACATTCATGATTCCATTTGTAAGTGTCATCTCACCAACACCTTTTGCACTCATGTGGCCCCGTATCACCACACACACACACCTCCGTTCTTTACTGTCAGGGCTATGTTTTCATTTCTTTCAAGCCAAACATGCTGGACTTCATCTAAGCCAAACAACTCTTTTATCTTGGTCTTATCTGACCAAATACTCTGCTCTCAGTATTCACCAGGCTTCTTATCATGGCCTTTAACAAAGTCTCATCATGCAGTTTTGTGCTGAACAGCAAGCAAAGGTTTTTTTCTTCTGGATGCTGTACACAAAGGCTAATGTTATACACTCATTCTCTGAGTTGGCACAGATACTCTGATTTCAAGTGTGAGGCATCTTTCATTCTGTTTTCAGAGTTAGATTATGCAGGTAGTCCACTCTCTGCAATGTCGTTTTGGGAGGAAGACCACCGCAGCTCTGATAATTGGTACCATGTCTCATTTTACACCTCTTGATTACTGCCGCAAGTGTTTTTCAACTGATTTTAAGTTGATCTTTCTGTGTCCTGTGAGAAGTCACACAATCAGATTTGCAGACATGCAGATAGACACAGCCCATAGGTCTAAAATAGAGAAAGTTGTCGTGTAAATCTCAGGTGTAATCAGTTTAATTTCCTGGTAACTTGTGTGTCAGGTATCACAGGTGTATTCACTTTTCTTGCATTGAGTTTCTACATTGAGGCCTGTTTTTTTAAAAATATAGTCTTTCCAATATATCTGTTTTTGATCGTTCATAAGAGGAAATAATCTACTTGTCAACTTAGGAGATACTGTCATTATTGAGAGGTGATCAAATTTAAATCCTTTTTGTTTAAGTGCACATGAATGTACTTCCGTCTGTTGTGGACTGTACACAGTTAGACTCACATGCACACATTTAATTATGCGCAGTTATAGGGACAGCAGGACAAATGCACAGACTTTGTTTAGCATTTGTATTCATATTATTGCACTATCATCTAGCAGCCTACACAAACACACACTCCTGTGCTTTCATGTTGTTTTTCCTCTCATGCTTTTATATGCCTTTTCACTGTGTACCTTTTGCTCTCATGCTTTTCTCAGGGTCACCATCCCACCCTTGGAGACCATCCCAAGTTTACCAACTACTCCTTTGATGTGAAGGAGTTCATGCGCCTTGTATTGGAAGCAGCCAATTACGTCACACACCATCCAAAATGGCAGCGCCGCGTCCTTCACGATGAACTCTAAAGTCTCTGTGAGTGGCGGCGCTGACACAGACATCTGGCTGCTGGAAAACTTTTAACTCGAACCTGCCTTTTGTTATGATGAACAAGACCTCTTCACACTGGCAGAGTCATTTTTAAGGTATTTTTTAAAAAAGTTACCTCATTCACCAGTGAATCTCTGTCACCCGGGGGGTTATTTGTCACCTCCTGTCCGCTACTTTGTTAGGTCTGGATGAGTGAAAGCAGCATGGCGGACGGCTCCAGTTTGAATAGCTTTCACTAGCTCTATTAGTGTCAAATCAGTTGAAGGACTAGGCGTGCGCAAGTTGAAGCATCTGGAGAGTAATAAGATGGATCCTATGTTTCTTCATTACCTCCACTGCGTCTACTTCATTCCATGTCGACAAAGCGAGCAAATGAGCAGCTGTTACGCCGTTCCTTCACATGCGACATCTTGTCCCATTTGATCAGTGTCACGTTGATGTGAGCCTCTTTAGAGTTGTTGACAATCACACTAGAGTTTCTGAGCAAAGCCAGCATAAATCAGTCGGGTTTGATGGGCAGTGGACACATGCTGGATTCACACATGTATTTGCAAGCTTTCCTCGCACTTAGTCTGATGAATAGAAATCATGTGGTTTGAAGTTATACCCATCTCAAACATGTAGAACTTTAAAGCAAAAGAGACAGAAGGTAAGTAAGTCTCCCCTACTCCCAAGTGGGATTTTCTTTTATCAGTATTAGTGTTATTATGTTTTCAAATATAGTAATACCTTTAGACGCATTGTTAGTAAGTACTGTGAAACATGCACTCCAGACACAAGGACAATATTTTTACTTAACTGAATATCAGAAATATTTAATAGGCTTTTTATATCTTTTACTGTTGCATTCTTATTTAATGTTTACATGGTTTTCTTCCATTTGTCACCTTTAATATTTAAACATGTTTTTTGCTGGTTTGATGGAATACCTTTTGATACAGATGCCTGTTTTATTATGAATTCCTTTCGGCGTCAGTATGGTGAAACAACGAGGGTGCTGCTATTATCTATTACCTTTCCTGGAACCTTTCTAATGCTGTTTGTGTAACACTTGACAATAAATTTGGCTGAAAGGGAATGAGCACAAGTTGCATACAGGATAATGCAATGCACAGGAGTATTATCAGCAATGAGAAGATCATTTTCGTATTTCTTGGACTCTCTGTGAGCTTGATGTTTTATTTATCGGTGAAACCGTGTTGAACTGAGTCGGACCTTCTTGGTCAGGACTTTGCGCAACTTGTAGGCGATTTCATATTCAAGAGCTGTGTAATATTTTGAAATAAATAATTCTAAAAAATGCTGAAGCATCTTGTCTGTGCAGGCCATATTAGGCGTCAGAGATTTAATTCATCTTAATTTAATCAATCATCTTTTGAAGTCTGACCTTGGAGGGGAAAAACTGAAGCCTCTGTCTTGCCAGTTCTTGCTGATGCCAGACAGCTCTTTGCTGTGGGTTTCATTATTTTAGTGGGTTCAGGTCTAAGGAGGGAAAGGGCTTTTCGCAAAAGGGCACTTGTTCAGTTTTTACTGTCACCATAATAAATCTGGATGACCTCAAAAAGTACCTGAGTTGACAGTGACGCGTCGTAGCCACATGGGGGCAGTACGACACCACACATGAGGCCAAATCTTCACCCTGCGCTGTGTGATCGTCCCTGACAGAATTACATCAACGGTATGAACAGTGAGAATAATTTATACACAAATATATCCGATGGGTCATAAGAGGATAATATTTGTTAAAAAGCGTTCGCTCCAATATCACAAGTTTGATGTCAGCAGTCGTGCTCCTGTGCGCTCTTTGCGGATGTTGTGTCTGAACTTTCTGAGTATTGACAGACACCGGGCCTGTCTGGGATGGACACTATTTATGGCTCTGCTCGAGTTACTGCCAGTGACCTCGTAAAGAAATGAAGAATCTCTATGTAGGAGGGGATCAAAAGCAGAGGAACCAAGATGTCTGTTCTCATTAACCTTCATGGCCGCTCACAATCGATGACCACCGTCATGTTTTACCGCACAGCCGAGCTGCTGGGCGCATCCAAAATGGTACGTTTGAGCAGAAGAGAAGGTGAGACGCGCATTGGATCACACCTTTAGGTATGAAGCGTGAAGCAAACGGTGCACAAAGTACCTAAAACCTTACCTGAGTGTGGTTTGGTCCTTGTGCGCACACTAGAAAACTGGCTTCACTGGCCGCCAGGGCGCAGCGTAAGGTCGCCTCAGTAATTAGTGCTGTTTCAGGCGTCCTTTCTCCTATCATTAGCAAACAGGCCTTGCATTTTCTGCCTCAGGATCTGTGGAAGTTTGCCATCCAGACTTTTTCCAACAGGTTTTCTTGGATTGCCCTATTGTGTCATATGCAGGCCTAATGATGATTTTGTTCCCTCAGAAATGTGGAATTTCTGAACTTCCTTTTGATTATGCCTTTAGGTCGTCAGAACAGAAAGGCTGATTCCAAACGAAGTCCTGAGGTTCATTCACTGATGGCAGAAGCTGTGAGCCAAGTCACTGGATCACGTCTGAGCCGTCATTCACACTTCAAAATTAGGACTTTACACGCCTCAGTTTTTACGCGTGAGTTACCCCACCAGCTGTTTTGTCTGACTGCCAGTGTATTATTTAATTTTTTTTCCCCTCCTCTGGCATCTTCACTGGTTTTGCCATATTGGCAGTAAAACCCTGAGCTTTCTGTGTCATTATTTACACCGCGAAGTCTCCCAGATACTGGGTCGATGTATTTCATTATTACCCAAGGCTGATCTTACAGTCATTTCTCTTTGTGCTTTACATGATCATTAGCATAATCTAATTTATCTCATAAGACAAACATTTCTCACCGCTGAAGTCAGACAAATCAATTACAATCCGCTCATCTTACCTTGGCCACTTTTCCAGGCGTCCCCACACCAGAAAAAAAAACGGTGCCTTTCAAGGGGGGATTAATGCAGGAATATCGATCTATGAGGAAGAAATATTCCTCAGGTTATGAACAGATATTTCCCTAATGTTTTTCTCCCATGGGTGACGGTTATTGGGGGGAATAATTCCAGATGAGATCCTATAACCCCTGTCCCTGTTACATGACACGCCAGGAGGCCTTTATCCTATACCTTTCCCACAATATCACAATATATAAGGACGATTGTGCAACCTTTAACATGCCATTTGCTCTTAGGAGGAATGGAAATATAGTGGAATGTTTTCTTGTGTGTGTGTGTGTTTTTAAACAGATGGCTCTGTGAAAACAACTAGAAACGTAATGGGAGCTATAAGGCAGGTAAATTAAATTTCACACCGTTTAGCTGCGTTCTGAAAAGCGTTTGCGTCACATGATGTGGTGTGCTCTGATACTATCTGGCCCCTCTGACGAAGGATGGATGAGATAGGCTGAGTGCAATGGGCTGTTGCATCCATTAGTTGCCTCACTTTAAGATAAAAGGCCTCCGATCTCCATTGGGACACGCAGGTTCACTACTGTAGATGCGAACACTTGCCCGCGCAGACAGGATAAATTATGTTGTAGGAACTTTCTGGTGTTCACGTCCAGTTTCCACAGTCAAATTTCTTTAGTCTATTCTGTCTGCAAACCGGCTCAGCTGCCTGACAGCAGATTAAAGGGGAAGAAAAGCCCATGCAGCGTCTGGCGCTGTCCGTGGTGCTGAAACCAGGATCTTTACTTCGTGTTTTTTTTATCTGGATCTCGCAACTAAAGGGCTGCATGTACCTCACTCCCGGCGAACCTACATCAATGTCTAATCTGTTCTCAGTTCAAAGCCAGACAGATCGATTTGTAATAGATTCAAGCAAAGATTAATCGGCTGAAAACAACATACTGCACTTTCTCACTCCGTGCACAGGTGGCAAAAACAAAAGGGTCCAAAGGCGTTGAGGACAGTGACAGGCAAGGATGCTTGAGATGACTCCATGCTGAGATGCTGGATTTCATGACGTTGCATGACTCTTTTTGGAGTTAAAGATCTTCATAACGCTCCCAGCAGAAAATGCCTCCACTGACACAGAGTCCATCGGCCGGCAACGCTGGCAACAGGAACGCAAGGAAGACATCTGAATGAATCGGATACCCCTCACCTTGGGTCGTTAGCAGACATCGACCTCCCCTAAGTCTTAACGACTGCAAATACAGCGCAAAGCAATCAATCGCCATCAACACACTAGAATATTCTAGGGATGGAATAATTGATAGGCTGTCTCCTGGTGCGTAACGGAGAGGCTGCGGTGATTAAATTCTGTTTAACATCTTGGTGGGTTGAGGGTGGGGGTGTGGGGGGGTAGGAGGAGAAAGGAGGAGGAGGAGGAGGAGGGTTAGATTTACACCATCCGCGCGTAAAGCCGAGCTCAGAACCCAAAGTATTGATATCCACGACAGCATCTGTAACGTGACCGAAGTGGAGAGGCGAGGTAGGCTATTATTTGATGAGGAGGGGGCCATCGACTCATGCACCTGTCAGTCTGTCAGTCAGGGACAATGGCAACCTAGAGATCAGACCCCCCCCTCCCCAAAACACACACACACAGGCAACACAAATAATGAAGTGGTGATGATTGAACTGCCAGCTATGACCTCCAGCACTATTAGGCAAACTCCTGCGAATCAATACTTTCAGACAGTAGCAGGTTTTTTTTTTAAAAAGCCTCCCTTTACTGGGTCTATAATACAAATTTCTCGTTATGTATATGGTTATTTTGTACCCTTTTGAACTTTTATTATCAATTTGCAGAGGACTGAGGGAATTAAAAATGTGACAAAAAACTTGTTAAGATGAACTCTTTGCAGTCTATTAAAAAAAGACTGCCATGCATTTCATCTCTCCTTGGATCTATAGGTGTAGTTCTGGCTACTTGTAAACTACATGACATCAGTGAGGAAGAAGAAGGGGGTGTACGAGAGGAGCTGGTGAACTGGGCGGGCGCTGGTGCACGTGTTCTGAATGGGGAAGACGGACTCGCATCGCATCATGTCCAATCGATCCCTGCTCGGGAGGAGCGACGGGAGAGCAACTATCACTCCTGCATCACTATACCATCACTCTCATCAGCATCTCTCCGGCGACCGTAACGCCTCCGTGTGACAGACTCACGTAAAGGGGGGGATGAACTTGTGTGGAGTGTTCGCCAAAAACATCAGCCCGCAGCCGCTTTGGGGGAATTACGCACTTGTGATGACTTTCTCCTCAGTCTGATTTTCAGATGGGACTCGGCGAGATCATGGCAAATGGGACCACGGCGCAATTGCGCGAACCCTGTTTTCTCACCCGGTTTCGGAGGGCTGCTTCTTCGGCGTGGCAGTAGCCCTCCTCACTCCTGGTGGTGGTGGTGGTGGTGGTGCGCTGGCTCCGGGACCTGGACGAGAGGCTCTAAAGGATTGCCCCGTTTAGTCTGGGGGAAACAAAAATCTGTGGAGTTGGAACAGAGTGTGGCAAAAGCGCTCTACTATCTCACCTGGATCCTTTACAGTTGCCAGTGATCATGCCATCGATGTTATAGATTTGGGTAAGGTGCTGTTTTGTTCTTCAGATTCTATTAGTATAAATGCACGTTTCCATTCTTCATGTCTTTTCGTGGAGCGCGGTCAATAGGCTAATAAAATAGGACGGGGTCAGAGGGGGACTTTGTGGGTATGTGGAACATTTTTCCACGGGCTGCAGGGAGAGAAGGGGTGGTGACTGGCTGACTGACTCACTAAATGACTGGCGAACTGAAAGCAACTTTGATGTTCTTGGCTCAGAGCGCAGCGCACACATTTGTGTGTGTTTTTTTCATGCAGTGAGGATTTCCAGAGAAAACACTACTGATCTCCAAGTGACTCCTCTCCCTGCGTGATTGCTTTGCGTAAAAAAAGGAACACATGATGAGCCGACTGAAACGGCCATCGGTTCCGCTGACCGTGTGCAGCGCGTGCCGCCGCTAAGACCGCGGAAGATTGAGGTGAGATTGATGCAGTGTTTCATCACTGTGAGGTTAAATAAGCGATCGGTCGGAGCTCGCCGCTGCTTAGCACCTATTGAGTGATCTGATGCGCTGACCGGGCTCTTTTCACGCACCTTTCTAATCGCTTTGCATGGATTGCGATCGGCGGGGAAATACGGCGAGGAGCAGAGCGCAGACAGATGGGAGAGAGATGAGGTGCCGCCGCCGGGTTCTCCGGGCAGATTGCGCACGGAGGCAGGGAGGTGTGTTGCAGAACCTAATGGCCACACTCTATTGGGCACTTGCACGCACAGGAGCACACGCACACACTTTCTCTCTCTCTCTCTCTCTCTCTCTCTCTCTCTCTC